AGGCTTTTAAACTGCACCCCACCCCCACCCCCAGCAGGTCACTGGGCTTCAGGATGCTGCCACCTGGTGGCCACCAGCTGTGAAGGGCTGGCAGCAGGCCCTCTCCCCAAGGAGCACTCCTGCTGGCTGACCAGAGTGTCACACTTTTGCAGAAGGCCTGGCAGCTGGACTCCAGAAAACACCACCTGTGAGGCACCAGGGCTTCATGATTAGGCTCAGGAATCCCCAGCAACTGGGTTCAGATCCTCTTCTGACACCTCCCAGATGTATGACCTTGAGCAAGTCAGCTGACTGCTCTGAGCCTCCACTTCTACAGTGTAACATAGGCAGCCTTCTCCTCTGTCAGGGGCATGTGGACCAGCAGGAGTCTGGCGGCTTTCTAGAGTAACTCTTTTACTGCATTATAATTTAAAGTGAAACTCTCACACATTAGGAATTAAAGTAAAAAACTATGCTTGTTTTAAGCAAAAACCCAGGCCTTGTGAGAATTTAGAATTTGTGCAGGCTGGATTAGATTCTTCTGACAACTGCTCTTCCCAGGATGCATTTTTCCTCTACAGTCAAAAGTTCTGCTAGGAGCAGTTTTTGTCTGTCACCTCTCTGCATGCTTTTCACATATTTTGAGTCAGAGAAGCAAAGACTCCCCCACACTTTCCAGTGGTTCAAGACCCGCCACACACATCTCAAGCTTTCCAACTGTCTCCTGCTTGGCCTTGCATCTCCCAGTGGCTTTCAGGCTTCCAGTTATACATCCATGCATCCATCCATCCAGGAGGTATAGCTGTCTGCACTAATTTTCCTTATGTAAATAGCAGAAAACTGAGGTTCAGAGAGACTGCCTAGCTTGGTTGAAGACACACAGTTGTTACATGAAAGATCAAGCCTCAGACCCAAGTGTGCCTGGCTCTAACATTATAGAAAGCCCTGGGGTAAGAGTTTCAGGCAAAGCTTTGGAGAGGCTGTTGTTCTGTCTCTGAGTTCTCCAAAGAGCAGAGGATGGAGATTATCTACTCCCTGATGTAACATTCCCAGGGTCTCAACATCAGATGCCTACCAGCCAACAAGAGCAGTCACAGCAAGAGGGCAAGCAGGATGAGGTCTGTGTGGAGATCAGATGGGAAGAATGAGGCCTAATTGGTCTCCTCCGTGAGCACTGAGGAGAAAGAGGGCAGGCAAGCATGCTAACAGGCTGCAGGGAAAAGTAAAAACACCTGAGGTTAAGTTGTTTACCCGGAGAAGTACCGTGGAGGGTGGGAGACAGATGAATCCTGTGGAACTGTAATTGCTTGTCCCCGTGTCTGAGTGAATAAAGCTAAGGTGTTCCAGTCATTGGGGGCTCTGTGTCAAAGGGAGACATGAGGCCCTGGCCCCTCAGATTTTAACTTGTTTCTGTATCTTTTTATTTTTCATCTCTTGATCAGGTTCGAGCTCAGCTTGTAGGCTGGTTCCTACAAGCCTGCACCAGCAGGATTGGGTAGGCCACATCTCCACTCCCCAGATCTTACCCTCCCTGCTCACTTCTGGTCCCATCTCATCTGGAAAGGCAGCAGCAGCTACTGGTATCTCTCGTAAACCTTTCCTTCACACCCCGGCACTTCCTGAAGATAGAGCCTGGGCAGGACTTCCCTTGCCAGATGAATTCCCTGGTTGTTTCAGTTCTCTTTCTTTGTGGGAAATGTTCTGACTCAAGTTATTTAGGGCACAAAGACTAAACACATCTCTTCTGCCCACACACCATCCCACACCAGAGCTGTGAGTGTGGACAAAGCCCTGCCCTCATGGAGGCACAGTTGCAGCTGAGGGTGTTGTGGTGGGGTTGTCCCAGCCCCAAGGGATAATAACTTAGGTCCAGAGGTGGGGTAAGACTAGCCCAGGGCCACATACCTAGGGACGGCAAGGTCCCCAGCCAGGCTTCTGCCTCCACCCTGCTTTGTTGATGGGCAGGAATATCTGAGTATCACTGAGGTCCTGTCTGGACCACAAGGCCAGAGCACACAGGGAGCATTGAGGAGGAGGCCCTTTTGTGTGCTTTTGGGGCACTCAATAGGTCAGCTGATCTTTGGGCTTAGGAGACCAACGTGGAGAAAGACTCCGAAACATGGCAAGCCGCATTAGGTGAAGCAGATTCCACTCCATGTGCACTTGCAGCCTTGACACATCTCAGTGGCTACTTGGGTTTCCCGTTATCCATCCACCCATCAAGGAGATGCAGCTATCTGCACTGATTGAGGGTACAACTTTCATTAAGCATACTGTCTCCAGAAAACTGGAAACAGGGAATCACACTCAATTTTTGTTTTATTATTGTTTTTTGTTTTGAGATAGGATCTTGCTATGTAGTTCAGGCTGGGTTTGAACTCACTGTGTAGCCCAGGCTGGCCTGGAACTCATGACAATCCTCCTGCCTCAGCCTCCCAAGTGCTGGGATTACAGCCCTGAGCCACTATGCCCAGTATACCATCCTCAGTTTGAAAAAGAAAATTTGTAAGAAATTTACAACTTGATACCATACTTTATGAGAAACCAGAAAAATTTCCACTCAAGAATAAGACAAAGATGTTCCCTCTCACTTTTCCTTTTCAACATCATATTTAAAGTCTTAGCTAAAGAAATAAGACAATAAAAAAGAGTTCGAATATGTACATATTGGGAAGAAAAAAATCAAATTCACTTTATTTTTTTTAAATGATGTAATTGTCTAAGTATAAAATCTGAAAGAACTGACTAAAAAACTTGGAAATAATGATTATAAGAGGTTTCAGGATACAAGATTAATATAAAGATGCCAATTAATTTCCTGTCTACAAACAATGAACAAGAGGAATTTGAGATAAAAATACAACATCATTTACATTAGCACCCATATAAAAGAAATATTGATATAACTCTTAAAAAACATGTAACAGCAATGTCAGGAACACTACAAAAATATCTAAGAGAAATCAAGGAAGAACTAAATGGAGAAATAACTCATGTTCGTTAATAGGAAGATTCACTATTGCCAAGATGCTGGTTCTTCCACCTTTTTAGATTCAATGTCCAAATCAAGATCCGACTAAGTTATTTTATGGATATTAACAAACTGATTTTTGAAATTTATAGAGAAGCAAAAGACACGGAATAGTCAACATGATATTGAAGAAGAACAAAGTGGAAGGATTGACTTTTCTCAGTTTCAAGATTTACTATAATGATCAAGACAGTGTAGTATTGATTTAAAAATAGAAGCGCAAGGACCAGAGTTCGATCCCCAACCTAAATAAACAAATAAATAAATAAAAGACACTCTCCTAAGAACAAGAAAATAAGTCTCAGGATAGGTAAAAATATTTACAAAAAATAAATTTTGATAAAGAATTATTACCCAACAATAAGAAACCAAACAGCTAGATTAAAAAATGGACAAAAGTTCTGGACATCTCACAAAAGAAGATGGAGAGATACTTAAAAGACATTCAACATCTTATGTCCTTAGTTTAAAACAATAAGTTACCACTGCACACCTATTAAGATAATGCAAATCTAAACATGGATAATGTCAGTGCTGGTGAGGATGCAGAGCACCACGGAGTCCCATTCATTACGAATGCAAAACAGTACAGCACTTTGGAAGACAAGTTGGCAGTTTCTTACAAAACTAAACATACTCTTAGCATACAATCCTGTAGTTCTCGCTCATACCAAACAAACACATGTCCACACAAAAACCTGCATACCAATGTTTAAAATAGCTTTATTTATAATTGTCAAGACTTGGAAGCAACCAAAATGTCCTTCAGTAGGTGAATGGATAAATAAATGGATAAATACATTGTGGTACAGCCAGAGAGGGAAATATCATTCAGTGCTAAAAAGAAATAAACTATCAAGCTAGGAAAAGACATGGATGAACTATAATAAATATTATTAAATGAAAGAAATCAATCTGAAAAGGCTACATGTATGACTCCAATTATAAGAAACAGTGGATCCTCAAGTTCTGACCAGCCTGACATATGAACAACTTAGGTTAATTAGATTAATGGAAGATTCATCTGCCTCTTGTTATCTATATTGTGTACCCAGGTAAACATCCAGATCTCAAATGTATGACTTACAACCAACTTGAGTTACAACCAGGCCTGGGAAAACAATCGAGTTCATAAATCAAGGGTCCACTGTACTCTGAGAAAAGACAAAACTATGAGGACACTAAAAATATCAGTGGTTGGGTATAGGAACCAGCCGACAAGCTCAAACTTGACCAAGGGGTGACAGAGATAAAAAATAAAGAGACACAAAATCAGGTTAAAATCTGGGGTTCCGTGGGGCTCATGTCTCCCTTTGACACAGAGCCCCCAGTGATTGGAACACCTTGGCTTTATTCACTCAGACACGGGGACAAGCAATTACGGTTCCACAGGATTCATCTGTCCCCCACCCTCCATGGTACTTCTCCAGGTAAACAACTTAACCTCAGGTGTTTTTACTTTTCCCTGCAGCCTGTTAGCATGCTTGCCTGCCCTCTTTCTCCTCAGTGCTCACAGAGGAGACCAGTTAAGCCTCATTCTTCCCATCTGATCTCCACAGTTGGGCCAGAGATGTAACTCAGCGGCACAGCGCCTAGCTGGCAAGTTCGAGGCCCTGAGTTTGATTCCCTGTACCAATAAATAAATAAATAAATAAAAATATCAGTTGTTGACAGGGATTAGAGTATGAATAGGTGGAGCACAGAGAATTTTTAAGGAAGCAAAACTATTCTGCAAAATTCCATACAGTAAAATGTAAAATCGTAAGTTCACAGCTTGATAAATTTCTGTCTGTACACACTATTTCACCACTGCATTTTCATCACTGCTGAAAATTCTCTCATGATGCATTCCAGGTGTTATGGTTGAATTGTGCCCCCTCTTCCCCAAATTCATGTATTGAAGTTATCCTAGTTTCTCAGAATGTGACCTTATTTGGTAATAGTATCTTTATTGACCGTTTCAATGAGGTCATGGAGGTGGGCCCTGATCTAGTACAACTGTTGTTCTCATAAAAAGAGGAAATTTGGAAACACATATATACACATAGAGAACACCATGTGATGAGGATGGCAGAGATATGAATAAAGCACCTACAAGCCACAGAATGCCACCAGTTGCCAGCAAGCCACCAGAAGCAGGGCAAAGGTAAAGAAACATTCTCTCATACAACGCACAGAAGGACCCAACCCTGTCAAAACCTTGATCTTCAATTTCAACTCTCCAGAAATGTAAGCCGATCAATTTTTGTTGTTCAAGCCACCTAATTTTTGGTATTTTGTTATGTATCGCAGCTATAGCAAGCTGATAACACTAGTCAATTCCTCTGTAAAGGTAATCCAATATTTTGACTTCTATCACTTAACATGGGCTAGGTTTTCCTGTTCATGTACAATCTATACCTTTTGTGCCTGATTTCTTTTACTCCATATAATATTCCTGGGACTCATTTATGTAACATGTATCATTATTTTATTCTCTTCTCTATTGCTTTGTAATGTTTCATGATATACATATTTTGTGATTTGTTTACCAATTTTCCCATTAATGGACATTTGGGTTGTTTCTAGTTTGGGGCTAGTAAAATAAAATGTCTATGAACAATTGTCCAGGGTGTGTGTGTGTGTGTGTGTGTGTGTGTGTATTGAGGGTATTTCTATTTTCTATTTGTTCTCTCATGTTTTAGAAAATGCATCTTGTATCTCAGAATGTCTGGCAATTTTTTTATTAATTGTGGATAAAATTTAGTTGTTCAGGAAAAATTGTAGAGGCCTGTTGTAACTTTGTCTAGCAAACATTTACTTTTCTTCTAGAATGTAACTCAAGGAGAGAGATGGAGATCATTTTAAGCTAGGTTGCAGTCTTCTTTAGACCTGGTCTATTTTGGTTTACCCTTAGTTCTAGAAGTACCCTATGGAGTCTCATTTGAAATCCCAGGGTGTTTAACAAGACCTTCCTTTGGCTGACCCTGGAATCCAATTTTAGTTTCTTTAGTGCCATGGCTGCCAAAGGCTCTGCTTAGCTCTTAGCTTTTTACCTCTTGTGTACTTGGGGTTTCAGCCTCTCGTTCCCCCAGCTTTGAAACCAGCAGGTGACTTAAGGGTGGAACAGAAAGGCAAGCTCCCTTCTCTGTGGTTCTCTTTTTACCTAGGCTCTTGGCCTTTTGAGTCCTGAGGTGCAGTGTGTGTCTCCCCTGTCCTGAGAGTTCTCAGCTGCCACTTTCTGCTCAGACTCTGGGCCCATGTTACTTTTAAATTTGTAAATGCCTCAGAAGGAAGAGGGTAGCATGTCAGGCTTCATTAAATGAATAGGTTTTCCTTCTCACTGAGGTCTTGACTTTTCAAGTCCTGGATCCCTGTTGTTTTCCAATACCTTTCAAACCGATTTTTAAAAACCCATCATTTGTAGTTGTTCTTGGTGGGAAGGTTTGTCTGTTACCCTGTATTCCATAGCTGGAGCTGAAACTTCATCATTAATCCATTAGGTACGCTCCCATTGGTTGGCTCTGTTCTATGCCAGGCAGCATACATGGGCTAGTGAGCTTTCTTCTCTGTGACAAACTACCTGAGAAAATGGACTTAAGAGAAGAAAGACCCACTTTGGCTCACGGTTTCAGGGATTTCAGTCCATGGACAACCGGCTCCATTGCTTTTAGGCCTGTGGTGAGGTAGAAACATCATGATGGAATGGCATAGCTCAGGAAAGTAGGGGGGAGGGAGGGGGAGAAAGAGAGAGAGAGAGAGAGAGAGAGAGAGAGAGAGAGAGAGAGAATATGAATAGGAATGAATATCAGAGAGGGCAGGGGACAAAACATACCCTTCAAAGCCTTACCCCTCACTAACCTGCCTCATCTCATTAGGGTCTATCTCCTAATAAGTTCATTTCGCTAATGAATTCATCAATGGATTAATCCATTTAATAAAGTTAGAGCCTTTGTGACCCAATCACTTCTCAAAGCCCATCAACTGCCAACCAAGCCTTCAACACAATGAGTTTTTTGAGGGATATTCTGTATCCCAATCATAATAATACCTAAGCATTTTAATGCTCTCTTTTTTTCTGAGTACTCACAATAGTCCTTTGAAATAGATGTTCCTATGGTTCCCATTTTACAGATGGAAAGCCTGAGACTCCAAGAGGTGAAAAGATTCACCCAAGATGAGGCAGGTCCTAAAATGGAATTTGAATCAGATGTGAGTGACCTCAAAGCCTATAATCTAGACCTTTAACTGCTAGGCAGCCAGCCTCTCTAGCCTTGAGGTTCAGAGTTGGCTCTAAGGTCTTCTTCCTCCAGGAAGCCCTCCCAGAGACTCTTCCATTGCTACCCTTCTGTAGCAACAACTATTCATGCTCAGATCTCTCTGACCAACCCACTAGTGTTAAAGGAAGACTTAAATGCTCAAAATAGAGGAAACAGGCTAGGGACTTCAAATAGCCACCAGAGTCACTCATGAGAACAGAAAAATCGGTGGGCTTGGGAGGTAATGAGGCAAGTCAGGAAGACATTTGCAGCCTGCTAGGGTGGCCTGGCCTGCACCCCTCCTAGAGGCCCCAAGATGCCCAGGATTTGATGGCAGAAAGAGATAGGGTTATGACTGTCCATTCATTCTGAGGCTGCCTCTCCCTAGTGCCTTGATTGCCCCTCTATAAGTTGGATTCATGTCTTTTGTCACCTATAACATCATCCAGTCAGAGCCCATAGTGCTGGGCAAGTGTCCACCTTGACCCCCACCATACTGCTCCCAGACCAGCAGTGCCAGGAGGGGTGGGTGCATGAGACAGCTTCCAGATGCTTTTCAAGAAAGGCCACCTCCTGGGAGTGGCTCTTCTCTCCCCTCCCCGTCCCCCCGCCCTTTCCTGAGACCCTCCAGGGATTCCACCATTGACCACAACTTCCTAGGCCAATCCTAATTCAGCCAGAAGGCACTTCTCAGAACCTAGGGGGGGGTCCCTTCCCATAGCCCCTTGCCCACTAATGCCTCCTTTCTAACACACCAGGGCTGCTTTTGCCTTGTTGGACAGCCAGGGCCAGAGGAAGTTTGCCAATACCCTGGGGCAGAGTAGTACAGGCTGGCAGCACTGTGACCCAGAGGAGAGCCCCACCTATCAGGAGGCTCCTCCTAGATGGGATTCCAGGCTGGGGTTCCCCAGCTCTCAGCAGTGGGTTGCACTTCTGCAATGGAAAATTACACATCCATTTTCTTTTCTAAAGGGAAAAAGGAAGAAAGAAACAAAGCTGAAGTGACTTCTGACACATTATGTTCCTGAGCTGCAGCCATAAAAGGCCCCCCTGGCTCGCCCCCACCCAGACCCACTCCCTTGAGAGAGCTCACAGCTGCAGGGCTAACGCCAGATGTGCCCCTGGCAACAATGTAGGTGAAGTCAGAGGGACTGGAACCCACAGGGAAGCTGAGAGAGGGCTTCTTGCCAGACACACACACCTGGGTGTCTTTTCTTGCTTCAGCCAGAGGCAGGATCATGAGGGATGGGTTTGTTTCCTCAGATGAGTTGGGATCCAAGAGATAAGAGAAAGCCTCTCAGGGACTTCTCTCTGGTGGCTGATTTCTGTCAGCTCTAAATAGCACATCAGAGCAGAGTGAGGTCACACAGAGCAGCCATGAATCCTTTCTGATGGATTCTATCACGGTCCCTGAACTACAGGATTGGCTTCTAGGAGTGAACACAGTTCCTGACCAGGCCAGTTGTCCTGGACTCAGCCTGTATCCCTACCTCTGGGAGAGGCTTTCTTCAAGCAGGGGCCCAAAGGAGAATGTGGGCAGAAGCACATGCGTGTCTTTGTACCGGGGCAAAGGGATATCCTGAGAGAGCTAGGCTACACTGTCAGACCAGGAGGTCCCCATTAACCAACCACACCCAAAGAACAGGAGGGACAGGAGGGACAGAGAGATGAGGACTAGAAGTGGTATTGACTTTGTGCCACCTGATACAAGCTCTTGTCCCATGGTCTTTGAGGACCAAACTCCCATTAGAGGTCGGTCAGTACTTGATAAGACCGTATATGTAGGCTTCTCCTCATTTAGCCAACTGGGTGATGTATCCTCAGATACTTGCTGTGACCAGGAGCTATTATACTGAGAAGCTGGGCACACTCTGCCTTTGGGAGGCCCCAGGAAGACAAGAGAGGATTTGGGGGAAGATAGGAAAAGGCCCACAGAACTCTGGCATGAAATGCAAATATGGGGGGAGGGATTGGTGGTGGGTGAGGGAGGCTCTCTCTGCTGCTATGTCAGAGGGCAGAGGTCACTTTCCCCAGGGAAAAAAGTCTCATGGAAGAGTTGACAACCAGGCCTTGGAAGATGAGCAGTATTTAAACACAGAGTCTGGAGTAGAAAATGTGTCCTTAGAGAAAATAATATGGGCAAAAGCCCGGAGCTAGGAAAATGTATTACTTACCCAATGGCACTCAGCCTTTGGTTCCCCTTGAAGAGGCAGCAGATCCTGGGCCACATGGGATATGTGGCTGTGGCAGAGAGTTTGTGTCCCTCAAATCCATGCAGGAACAAAGCTGAGCATTGGAAATGGCCTCCCATGTGTGCCAGTGAGATTCCAAAGGACAAATTCCTGGAGACAGAGTTGTGGGACAAATGATGCTGGCATTTCCCGTTGTGACGGACAATACCAGTTGCCTCCATGGACCCTGTGGGTTTTCTAGCGAGCCATCTCTTGGCACTGTCCACCTTCTCCATCAGGATCTGTTTTCCACCCAGGGGCAAAGACAGGATGCGTGTTCCCTTCGCAAGAGAACACACTGAGCACTGGACCTGGCCCGCAGGAAGCCCTTGGAAGGGGTGAGCTGTTTGTATTCCACCTTGGGGTCTCCAGCAGCCTTTCTGATACCCAGGAGCAGGTGAGCTTTACTCTCTTGTGTCTCACCATACCTCCAGAGCTAGGAACACTATTCCTCTCCACACCGGGTATTTCTGGGAGCAAGTGCTTGATTACATCTCCTTTCTGCTGCAGCTAGTTTGGCTCCAGACTCAAAGGAGAGTTCAGCAAGGGTTTGTTCTGTGGCTGTCAGATGCAAGGAAGGTGTAGCCTGCATTTCTGCCCTTTCCATCATATGAAGCAAGGCCAGTTGTCTCCAAATTACCAACAGACAACCAAAGTCCTATCCTGCAAGCTGGTATGCTTTATCCCTTGCACAGAAGGATGGGCATACCTATATTACTGACAATTAAAATGCAGAGAGGAGAGGTGGCATGTCCCACTCTCAGAGCAACTCTAGAGGTAGAAGCAGTTGTCTCTAACCCAGCTTGGGTAGAATGACTGTATCTATAGATGTATGGCTCTGATTGGCTAGATGTGGCCAAGGGGTCACTAAGGAGATCAGGCTGTTCAGGCTCAGAAAGCCACAGAGGTATGTCTGTGTTGCATCTTTCCCAGGATCTTGACCATGGAGAGGACACTCATAATCCTACAGGTGAACCTGTGCCACCCCACTCTGGGCCCAGCTGCTTTCACCAATGTCCCCCAGCAGTGGCAGCATAATACCAGCCCACTTCTTGTTGGGCGGGGGCAGGATGCCGACCTCCAGCTGTAGCTGCCCCAATTCTCCCACCAACACCTGTCTCTGAAGCCCTACCTGGAGAACGGCAGCACTCTATTGACTTTTTGTCTCAAGGTCCTGAGCCAAAAGAGCTGTGTGTGGGTCAAGGGGCTGCCGCTGAGGCATCTGAAACAAGTCCCCCTGAGCACCGTCAGCAGAGTCTCCTTCTGTGATGTCCAGATGGTGGTCCACATGGAGGGACCTCCCCAGAGGCCTTTGTCTGCTGCTTCCATCTCAGTCCCTCACCCCTGATTTACCAACCCAAGGCTGAGGAGAGTGATAAATGGGAAGGCATCCCATAGGAGCAACCTCCCCCAGGTTCAGGAATGCAGACTCCTAGTCACCTGCAGTATCTCCACAGTCCTTCTCAGACTAAGAACAACCCTCTCCAGCAAAGGCCTGGAGAAGGAACAGACCTAGAGGGAGGCCCCAGACACCACACTCTGCTAGCTCTGCCTCTGAGAGCAAGCCATACTAAATCAGGGCTTGAAATATTTGAGCTACATCATGAGAGGCTGACATGCAAGCTTGACATTCAAGGCCTCCTGGCTGCCTGGCTCATAATGAACCAATTCTGCATCATGGAGCAGCTCCTGGGGGTGGGGAAGCCCCCTCTGTGGCTAGAGGTAATGAGAATGTCATATTCTTTTAGAGGCCCTGAGGGGTTCTCGGGGGCCCCTCCCAGCATTACCCCACATTTTCCCCCTTCTCTGACTAGGAGTTACTTTATGTTGTTCATTTTGAGGGCTGCTTAAGAGCCAGAGTTTGAGATTGCAGGAGGAATGCATGGACACATGTAGCAATTACATTTGTGGTAGCTCCAGGTTACCTTCAGCTTTCAAATACCCACAGGCACTTGGGGCTTAGGGAAGCCTGTGTCTAATAAACTGCAAGTATTTCATTAAGCTGGCATACCCAGTAGGGTTCCTTGATCCCAAGACGGGCTACATGCGTGCCACGTTGTCATGCAGAGGCAGCAGTGGGAAACCTGGAAGGGGTGTAAGAGGAAATTGGAAAGGTAGGTTTCACATTCCTGGAAAGGACACTGGCGAGCTCAGGACTTCCAGGATAGGAGCTGGGAGCTGGGCCTGCCTGGAAATTCATTGTCACTGTCATTCTCCTCATCCTCTCACTCTCCCATTCTCTGGCACTACTGGAGCAAAGCTTTGGCTGCCCCGAGGGCAAGATCTTCAGAGAAAGATGTGTCCCAGAGCAATGGGCTCTTTCAGGACTTAGCCTTTGAGGCATGGGGTAGAAGGATGGGTTAGAATTCAGTCCAGCAATTACTTCACTCAGGGTGGGTCATATACCAATGGTAGGGGTGGTCTGCAAAAGGGGATTTGTAAAGAGCCAAGCAGGTTAACGGTGGGAGGATTTTCTCAGCTAATGGGGGACCACAATGCCAGTAACCACTTACCATGCCATCCTGCCACGGGAGAACATGGCTTAGAAATAGTCCTCACCAGTGTGATGGAGGAAGGAACCTACAAATTCAGATGGTCACCATGGTCCCAGACCCCTACCCATCTCAAGCACTGAGGGCATGATGCTGCCACTTGATGACCCACATCCTTGGGGTCTGTAACCACCTCCAGTGCTTGCCATTCCCCACTGAAGAAGAAAGACCTCAAGGGAGACTACAGGAGATTCAACTCCACTCCTAGATGCTGAGCTTTTTCCCCATGGGGAAGATGGCACCAGATAAGACTCAGCCATGTCCTTACTTGGAAAGCTTCCCCATGAATAGGAAATAAAACAAGTATACACAGATAACAGCCACAAGGCAGAAGAGAGCAAGGGCTTCCAGGGAGGGGATGGTCAATGCTGGGACTCCCAAAGCAGTCCCTTATTCATTCAGCAAACTATCACCAAGCACAAGCCCCAGGCTGATAAAGTCTCTGCCTTTTGGTAGCCTCAAGAAAGACAAATATTCAGGAGCTAATGACATAATTACAGATCTTGGGAAAGATGGCTGCATTTGTGCTTGTGTGGGAAAGATGGCCATGATTGTGTTTGTCATCTGATGTGGAGTTTGCAAACAGAAGCAAAATTTTGCTGAACACTTGTTTTTGAACCAAATTGGTTGTAAATAGAAGCATTCGTGAACTGAGGTATTACTGTACAGTATTCGATTACCATTGTGAATGATGCTATAGCTATTAGATTTTTCTCTCCTCTAGCTGAACTTAACAGTTAGCTCTACTGTTAAGTGGCCTTGTTATTGATGCTTACCATGTGCTCAGGGCTCTGCTAGGTGCTGTACACACAGCTTCATTTAAACCTCACTCCAGAGAGACAATGGCGTTAACCATATTTTACAGGTGAGGAAACTGAGGCCCAGAAAGGTTAATTGTCTTGCTCCAAACCATACCATTCATGAACTCTGTGATCTTGGGCAAGTAACTTAGCTTGTTCTTGCCTTTATTTCTCCCTTTGGAAAGTGGGTAAGGCAACAGTGCCTATAAGAGCTGTTATGAGGGAATTAAGGGCAGCAAATGCAAAGTGCTTAGTGCAGTGCATGGCACACAGTAGGCACTCAGTAGAGTCAGCCACTGTCATGAAACCAGAGAGAGGGAACCTAATACAGACCCAAGAACCTACAGACCCAAGGGCTCACCACCAACCTGAGGCTAAGGAAGACTTAGACCCTGGTAAACTGGTCATAAAGCCCAAGGGCTTCTCTGACTAAGGGACTAAGGGTTTTCCTGTAGCTATGGACCTAGTGGACAGTTGGGAGGAGATTTTAAGGGGTTTGTACAGCAAAAGGCCCAATATCAGGGTTTGTAGAACAAGAGACATGCTTGAGGGTGGCAAGGAAGAGGAGCCACATATAGTTTGGCCCACTGTTGGAACTCCCCTTCTATCTCACATGCTTATTGTAAAGGCAGCAAGGGTCCCTCACAGGTCAAAGTGCTGCCCAAACTATATTACAAAGCAGCCACCCACGCTGAGAGCCTGAGACTGGAGCCACCCATGGTCACTGTATATGAGGAGCAAAGGATGATGACAGGGAGCTGGTGGAGACACCCCAGGGTCCCCAGGTGTGGCTCCCAACTCCTCTGGAGAACCTTTAGGACAAGCTGCTGTAGGTGAATGTCTCTCTTCAAGGCCAGAGCAAAGATTCTCTCCTCTCTAGGAAGGAACAAATCCATTCCTGCTGAGGTTCTATGAGAGCAGCCCATTCCTCCATGGGTGACTCTGCAACTTGGACCTTCAGGATGAAGCATCAATGAGGCTGAAGGATGAAGGCCCGGCACAGGATGGGCGGGGTCAGGAAACATCCGGCTTATTGTTTTCAATTCTACTCACTCATGAACTCTCCCTGGGAAACTTAGGCTCTGCCTCATCCTGCCCATCCAAGGCTCTGCTCTTCCAGAGTAGAAGAGGATTTAAAGCAGTAGATCCCTAACACCCACCCCATTCTTCTAACAGTTGGAATTTTCAGGTGGGCTTCTGGGACCTCATCTATATACCTGACACCACTTCCTTTGCTGCATAGAAACCCTCCTGGGGAAGGTCCTCCCAACATTTTCCTCTGCACTCTCTCAGCTTCACAAATGGGGCAGCCCATATGCGAAAGGGCATGTGTGCATGTAAGCACACAGACACACAGACACACTATGGTGGTTCCCAGCTGAGGCTCAGTGGTCAGACTGCTGCCTTAGTTAGAAGTCATGCTGCCCACTTACTACTTCTTGATCTTTGACAAGTAACTGAGTCTCCCTGTGCTATAGTTTCTTTTAGAAAATGAGGACAATAACAGTCTCTCCCCACCTTAGAGTCATTGTAGAGATAAAACAAGGAACTGCAGGTAAAGCATCTAGTATAGTCCATGGTACACAGTAGATACTCAAGAGAGTCAGCTATAGTTGGCTGGTTCAGGGAAATGAATTGAATGCAAGTAGACATGTGGAGTTGATTTATACATGCACACAAACACACATCTGCTCCAAGGAGCTACATCAGTTATAGTCAGGTAGACCCTGGAGGATTACAGTTCTCTGAGACAATGTCTGGAAATGCAGAAGTCTTTCTCTGGCCTGCACTTCAAGGAACTTTAACCCTCACATCCTCTGCTTTTCCAAGAATGTGAATGTTCCTAATCTTCCTGCAAGCAAGACATATCATCCGCTTGAAGCTATGTGTCAAGGGAGGCACACTGGCACAGAGTAGGACCATCGGCCCGGGGCAGTGCCGTGAGGAAGTGTGGTGGACATGGTCATGCCATCCTGCATCAGCCTGGAGGAAGGAAGCCTGGGTCTGACCAGGGCATTCCCATGGGGGATGTCAGCACGCCTAGTCCCCATCTCTTCAGTGAGACCTAAGCTCCATTCACAAAAAGGCCCCAGAGTGTTGGATGTTGAGTTCCCAGTGGCCATCCTGGAGCTGAGTAGAGGGCAGATGGACAGACAGACAGGGCATTGGAGCCCAGACAGATTAGCCCTGGGATGCTAAGGCCTAAGCCAGGCTTCTCATGCCAGGAACCAGCCATCTTAAGCTGGCAGTGGCGGGAAAACAGCCAGAAGCAAGGGCAGAAGGTTGTAAAGTCTGGGTGAACAGTGATGAAGGTGGCTGTCTCTGCTTCCTCTGGGCCACAGTGGGCAGAACAAAGTGGTGCTTCATTCTCATTCTTGAATTTCAGTAGCTCCAACTCGAGTGAAACCTGGAGTTTGAGATTCTGTGCAGCAACTGCAGAAAAAGATTAACAGATTTGACAGGGTGCCATACCATAAAGATGTACAGACAAGACTCAGCCAGTATTTCTAGTCCCCAACAGAGGCACATAAGGATAAGCATCCCCGGAAAGCCCTGGGAGGAGCCCTGCACTGTAACACTCAGGTATCCTGCTGGCTAGATTGAGTCTGGCTTGTGGTCTGCCGAGTATCTGACCTGTTCTGACCCTCTCCCTGACCCTTGTGTGGTGAAGCCAGCCCGCACAGACCCTCACCCCCAGCACGTGCCCACCCTGCTATACCAGCACTCCATTCGCTCACTCCTGAGCTGCCTATTAAGAGATCCCCTGAGGCCGCAGGACACCAGGAAGTCACTCAGCAGGAGGCACATGCAACTTCAAAGAAAGGGTTGGAGAAGGCAATGCTTAACTTGAAGGAGTGGCTTCATAGTAGAAAGAGTGGCATCAAATGTTTCCTAGCAGGTCACTGAGGAAATGGTCACTTCATAAATGTGTAAAGCAATACTTAGTCAAGAGCTAGTTCCCAGTCTCCACACATCTAAAATGTAGAGCTGAGGCAGGAACTGAGAGTGGATCTTTCTACAAGCAGTCCTCTGAGCAGCCAGGCTGCAGTCAGTAAAGAGGTGTGTGAAAATAAGCATGCCACACGGAGTGAGGATGGTTTATCACCCCAGCAACCAGCTGCAAGTTGGAGCACTGCCTCCCACTCCTCTTAAGGTGAGCTTGATTCTCAGGCTACACTCTTGTTTTCTCTTCCTTAGCTTTCACGCATGGCATCTGATAGCAGGTGATATTGCCGCAGTCCATGAGGTCAGGAGGCCCTTCTCCACCATCTCTTCCTTGCAGCAGCTCTACCTGCATTCCAGTCAGTCACTGCCACCCCAGAGCCAAAACCTATCCCAGACTTGCAGGGGAGGAGTAAACAAGCCCATTGGCCCAAACTTTAGGAGGAGATGTGCAATTTAATGAACTCGGTTCACATTGTGGGGCTATGATTCCTCTTACCTTTAACGTGAACTCACAGGCAGATTAAATTGAAATAAAAACTACCATTTGAGTTACATTCTCAGCTGATTGGAAACATGCATTACCTCCCTGTGACCAGGCCGTGAGAAGGGAAGTTATTATCTTTCTTTAGAGTTTGTAAACCCTTTATGGCGGAGGCAGCTTTAATCCTGCTGGGGGAAAAAATGATGCAGAATAAATTACTCTCATTTACCTTTGTTTTCCAATCACATGCTCCAGTGGGAACAAAACATCCTAAGTGAGGGGATGTGGAGAGCCAGGTGATCCTTGACAGAAGAGTTTAATTATTTTCTTCTTTAAGTACGTGAGCTGAAAGGGCTTTAAAGCATCATTTGGCAAGGGGGCTTGTTCCACAAAAATGTGCACTCCAGCAAGGATGCCAGCATCGCCTGGTTTTCCTGGTTCCTCTGCTTTTTCTTTCCAGTGGGCAGTGGCCCCCACCCATCCCCACAATGCCTGCTCCTTAATGGGGTATTCCCAGCAAACCTTCTAGCTCCAGACATTTAGGAACAACCAGGAAGGAGCCAAAGAAAAGGCAGATTTGAATCAAATTCAAATCAGTGTCAGGGCTAGGGCTCTGGAGAGGCAGATTTCACTCCTTTGTTATTCCTCTGACCCGCTCTGTTACCTAAGTGACGCAGAGTTTCTGTGTAGGAGGTACCTGCAAAACAATTGAGATGGCCCAGGCTCTGAGCCCAGGTTTCTAATGGCTGGAAGAAGGCCTGGCTGAGATGTCTGCTTCACTTTCCTTTAAAGGGGCAGGGTAGGAATCTTCATAATGAAGTAGAAGTGGGGGCCACTGGAGTGGGAGCTCAGCAAGACAGCCAAAGCTGGGTTTTCCATGAGTGCTTCTCTGTGGGGTGAGGACATCATGCCCTCATCCTTTTAGACAGTCTGCTGCAGATTAGATGGGAATAGGGACTCTAATCAGTGACTTTGTTAGGGTGTGTATCATTCAGGATTGAAACAGAAAAACCAAAATTAAGTATTCCAAAAATGTAATTCAGGGAATGGGAACACAAGAGGTGGAATTTCTGAGAAATCAAATAAGGGATGCAATGCAGAGATTATTGCGCTATTATTGGTGGCTACAACCCCTGGGGCTGACGTGGCAACCAAGAGAGGTAGTGTGGGCAGAGTCAGAGTGGGCTCCATTTGGCCCAGGGCTAAGAAGTACTGTACAGGCCCCCCTGCTGCAGGGAGGAGCTGGACCCACAGAGGAGAGGCAGCTGTGGCCACTGGCTGAGATGCTGGGAAAGAGGAACAAATAGGCTAGCGTCTCCCCGCCCCCCATCTGCCACCAGTACCTCCAATTGGCTGAAGCCAGTCAGAAGCACCTGGCAAGCAGAGACAGGCAGCCTGCAGGGCTTGGCTTCCCTGCAGGACAGAGCAGAGGAGAGAAAGAGAGAGTAATGGATTAGAGGACACACCAAGCCAATGAATATGTCTAAGCCAGTGCCCCTCAGTCTTGTCTGGAGCCCTGGCATGGCCACCAAATAAGGAGAGCAGAGGGGAGCCACAGTGTGGAGGACTCCACTGCCCAAGGATCCTGAGGATAATGGGCAAACACAGATCCCCCCTTTATCACCGTCACCCAACCTCTGCAGCCTTCAGCATCTGTAAAGAAGGAAAATAGAGGGCACAAAAGGACAGGTACAGCACAGAGAAGAGCCAGGTGTGGTCTGGCTTGGCTTGTACTCATTCCCACCAGGACACAGGATGACCTACTTTGAGCTCCCTCTCCCCCAAGAGGCAGGGCATAGAGAAGAGCAGGTGTCCTCAGGAGCCAATGTCCAAATCCCTGTTGGCCTCCACTTACTGACTCTGGAAACTTCCTTCAACACACAAGCCACCTTTTCTTCATCTACAAAGTGGAGACAGTGCTAGGACCTATCTCACCTCTGTGAAGACCGAAACACAGCATGGAAAGGAACTTAATGTGGACCCTGTGAATTCTTGGTAATGTCACCCATGGACGTTAGCCACCAGCCATCCCCAGATATACTTTCCTCCAGAACACTCC